GTGCAGTTGGGGATTGGCAATGTTATCACACGTAAACCGAATGACTTCATTGCAATTTTTATTGATGATGAATAAAGACTAATTTACTTGTTAGAGTTAGTCACGCGACGTGCCTCTGTGCCGCTCCAGGACCAGGTTTGTGTATCGGTTCACGCACTGATTAAGGCAGTTCAGTTCGTTACTCCACGTACACACGCACGCACGCACGCACGCACGCACGTACGTACGTACGCACGCGATACAGTATTGATATATGACAGAGTGAGATATAACTAGCTAAATACAGACCAACGTTTGGGGCAGCGGCGGCGGCGGGCGGGCGGGCGGGCGGGCGGGCGGACGGGAAGGGGGGGAGGGGGGAGCACAGTGCATCACGAATCGTTTTTCACATCCGCGAAGCCCGATTGCATGGCTTACACATTACAGTAACGGTGGAACCTCGGCTGCACTCAGACGTTATCCGCTTTGCTTAGATGTTAGTTAGTCTGTCAGTCCCCGATCTGGACCAATCACAATTTCTTACTGGCCGGAACAGTGGAGGTTGTTTGTCACCTTAATCGAATGGCACAAGCTTCGTTTTATAAACCGCGGTTGGCCGTTTGATTATTGACCTATCTCGGCCACTGATCGCATTGATCGATCGATCGATCGATCGATCAGTTGATGAGCCGCTTTACAGCCGCGCAAACCCCTGGAAACGAGAATCGCTAGAACGGACAAAGGCTACTAGGACTTCTAAAGACCGTTTATAAAGAGAGACAAAATCTCGCGGAATGGAATTTGATAAGTTAGGCCAGTAGTAGTGGTAGTAGTAGCATTGGTAGTAGTAATAGTGGTGATATTGGTAGTATTGGTAGTATTAGTTATATATATTGCATATTTCACACACGTCTGATGCCAGACTATGCCAAACAAATCGTGGTACAATTGTCTTGATAAAAGAGAAACGCTCCACGATTTGCAAGTGGGCCGAATACTGCCAGGTTACCCAGACCAAGGCAGGATGTCGGCTTTTCGTCCTCTCACTTTGGTGAGAAAAAACCGCCACCACAAGAAGGCAGTGAGTAGGACTTCCTCAGCAGAGGCTATTTGAGACGTTTGGTCGTATGGGAGCATTTCGGAGCGAGGTACAAGGGCAGAGTGACCAACCACAATACTAGACACCCAAGCCCGACCATACTGAGGCTTTCGGAGGCATCCTATTAAGATCATCAGCCTCTTTCCCCAGATATCATGTATTTGTGTCGCATTGGATGTTTTCTGATCACAAACAACTGTCTTCAGTCTTCAGGATTGAAGGCAGAGGGCAGAGTGCCCGTGTAA